AGCTATTGGCTGTGGTCCTTTTACTAAAATGTAGTCTCTTCCTACTTGCCAACTGGCTATGTAAATTCTTCCTTGTGTATTGAAGAGAACAGGAGAAGTATTCTTATTTTTTCACAGATCTGATTCAAACTATTTAAAATGAATGAGAAAAGCACCATTATTTGAAGAAACATTTTCTTTTTCCCTTTAACTTTTTTTCCCTAGTACCTTTTACTCTGCCTTCCTAGAAGCTTAGCAGAGCTGTGAACTCAGATGAAAGCAGATGAAAAAGCAGAAGCCAATGAGGAGCTGCAGGCGCCTGTTCTTGGAACATCATTTCCAGTAGGAACTGTGCAAAGAAAACTGAATACCACATTTTCTTCTGTTTGAAACAACTAATTTATGTGTTGCAGATTTATCAAAGATGCAGGGTGCAGATAATGCATTTCTGAATACAAGGTAACAGTGTTTGGTTTCTATTTTTTCTTTTTTGTCTCTCTCTAAGGTAATTTCACACATTATATGGAAAAAAGGGAGAAGAGAATAGCTTTAGGAATTCATTAAGACTGACTGATATGTTAGGATTCATCCTATAAACTGCCCAACAGTGGGTAGTTTAGGATTAACCTCTCAGTTCCTACTTCTATGTGTTTTAAAGTCACAACATTCATCCATAAATCCTTACTACAGTCAGAAACAAATCTGTAATTTCTGCACTTGAGATGCTTTGTCATCATAAAATGACACACTTCTTAGGACTTTAAAACAAGTTATTTTTTTTCATACTCTCTTCCTTTCCCTCAGAGGTTTTGGAATTGTCTTTCCCTTAAATTATTGGACAAAGACTACTAGGATGAGTAGATTACTGGAGGAGGTAATCAGAAATCTATTTCTTCTTTTTTTCTCTTAAAAAATCACTTCACATAATAAATAGAATGAATTAGGGTAAATTATGAATGATTTATGCTTGCTGCTGTTGATAGCTGCTAGTGTTTATCTTTTATCTCTTTTCTGTATCTTCAGGGGTCAGAGGAAATCTTTCTTAAAGAGTTTCATTTTGCTATGTAAACATAGTATCTTCTAAAATGTTCTTCCATTTTGAGCCAAACCTCAAACCTTTACAAGAGCAAAGGAAATTGTTGTGGCTTTTGCGCAGGGATACGACTATTAGATAGGACAAATGATGCTGTTTCTCTTCTGCTCTCTGAGGAACTGCTTTTTATTTGGTCGTTTTCATTTTTCATTTGCGTTTTTGTGCCACTCTGCTGCAAATTATGGACAAAGGAGTGGGCCAGAGAATATCCAGTACTACTGTTGTACACCGTCTGTGGGCGAATCCCTTGAGAGCACACTGCACTAAGGCATCCTGGGCTGGAGAGACAACAAAGGGCTATATGTAAAACCAGAAGTTTTTACTGAGTGATGTTCTATGCCTTGAGACAAAGATAATTTATATGCTCTCAATAATGAAATAGATGATGGAAATCTATTAGCTTGTTAAAAATGCAGAACATTTTCCCATCTTGGAAAGTGGAATCAAAATTTAGAATGGTCTTGACAAATTGGAGAAATGCAAATTGGAGAATTGCATGCTACAATTTAATAATGGTATGTACAAAGTCAGACCTTAGAAATTAATGACCAGTGTCAGAAGTACAGTGTGGGGAATGTTAGAGCTTACAGTAATTCTGTGCTAAAGATTACACAAATTAACATGGACTGTGAATATATATGAGGGAATAACAATGCGCTGTTCCAAGAAAAGGAAAAAAAAAATTGTTTGGGGATTATAACAAGACTATCTCCTGTAAAATATATTGCATAATATTTCAGTGAATATCAGATGAAATACTACAAGTTTGAGAAATCAGCTTCTGGAAGAGTTGGTCCAAGCAGGATTCAAAAGAATGATCTGATGCTCAGAAAACAGACTGTATTAGGAAACACTGAAAGACTAAAGGAATGATGATTACATTTCCCCACAATAAGCTGAGAAGAAATGTTAGCATGCATCAACAAAAACAAACTGAGGACAACACAGTATTATTGAGTAAGAGAAAGAAACAACCTTTCTACCTCTTTGGAGCCCTGGGGTAGACTGCTTATATTGCAAAAACTTCATCACTGGCTACTTCTATGAACATGTTAGAGTGGGTTACAGTATAAGCATTGTATCTTTGATTACGTGAAGGACAGGTAAATGAATTTAATTACTATGCTGACTTTTTAAACTACCTGTTTTTAACCATCATTCAAATAATGAAGAACTATTTGCACCTACCCCTAAGATGGCACTCAGGGCCTCTGGGTTTGCTGAATCCCATTTTCTGTGCAGAATCACAGAATGGCCAGGGTTGGAAGGGACCTCAAGGATCATGAATCTCCAACCCTCCTGCCACAGGCAGGGCCACCAGCCTCCACATTCAATACCAGACCAGGCTGCCCAGGGCCCCATCCAACCTGGCCTTGAACACCTCCAGGGACGGGGCATCCACAGCCTCTCTGGGCAGCCTGTTCCAGAAGACCTCAAAGAGATGGGTAGGAGAGTAGTCCCTCCATAGGTCAAGAGGTACTGCCTGATCAGTTGAGATATTTTCCAGTCCTACGTCCCATGTGGTTATGCCAAGCTCACTGACTGACAGCTAGCATTTTTCGAATGTCAGACTCTGGGTAACTTTTTCTATATAGAAGAAATTTAGAATAGCGAGTATGCTTTTGTATGATGTTTGTGGATCAAAAGACTAAAGTCTAGACTCTTACCTACTGCTCTTGTTTATTTTGTACAAATTTAAATTCAGAAGATATAATTTCTAATTTTGAGCTAAGCGTGTTTGATCATATTCTGCCTTTATTTGCTCTTGATTTCTTAAAGAATAAGATGCATCTATTTTATTCTTTGGGATGTAAACTAATATGGGGTGGGAGATGTTTTAATAAGACAATGATTAAGAGTTTTCCATTGTTCCTAGAGGACTATACATACAGCAATTAGCAATCCACCTGATGATGAAAGTGAAAAGAATTTAATTGCCTTGGCAAATGTTATAAACAAGCCTAGTCGGACCAGTGCTGTTAAGTGAGAATGCATTTTCTTCTAGATTTCCTTGTGACTGTTACTATGTTTCTCTCTAGAGACTGGAATGTATGTTTTCTTTTTCAATAAAATGAATGTAACGCTTTGCTATCTGAATTTTGGCTTGGAGAAGATATTTCTTTCACAGTGGATTCTTCCACTTTTAAATGCCAGGGATTTAAAAATGGAATGTGTAGGAAGTGCTGAAGTGCCTATCTGTCATTTACGTTGAATATATTTACAGTACATCTTCAAAAGGTGAGTTGTTTCTTTCCAATCTTTATATGACAACCAATTATACTAGACACTTCCATAATCATAGGTGTCAGGACCCTCTCAGGTGGATGGCTAAAATAACAGTTTTACCTTTTTAAAAACCTTTAGAATTTGACAGGGAAAAATCCCTTTGCAGGATTGAACAACAGTGAAATGTGACTTGGCTCTTTGAGCTGACAGTGTCATTTTTTGGTAACAGTCTTCTTACAGATATAACATTTCTATGCATAGATATGCAGTTATGCACATATTTAATCCAATGATGTAGGATACCTTCCACTATTAAATGAGCATTCATTTCACAGAATCAGACTCACAGAATGGTTTAGCTTGGAACAGACATTAAAGATAATCTAGGTCTAACTGCCTGCTGTGGACAGAGTTGCCACCCACTAGATCAAGTTACAACAGAGCCCCATCCAACATGGCCCTGGATATCTCCAGGGGAGGGGCATCACAGCTTCTCTGGGTCTCTGGGCAGCTGTGCCGGGGCCTTGCCACCCTCTGAATAAAAAATTTCTTCCTAACATCTAACCTAAACCTCTCCTGGTTTAGTTTTAAGCCATTCCCCTTGTTCCATCATGACCAAACTGTGTAAAAAACCCATCAGGCTTCTCCTACTTATAAGCTCTCTTCAAGTGCTTGAAGTCCACACTGAGGTCTCTTTGGAGCCTCCCAGCTCCCTCAACCTTTCTTTGCAGGAGAAGCTCGCCAGCACTCTGGATCTGCTCCAACAGCTCTTCATCATTCCTGTGCTGGGGCCCCTGGCTTGGACACCATAAGGGGGCCTTATTGTGAAAGTGGGAATACTTACTACCCTGAATACAGATGCAAAAACCACCAGATTTGGGCATACACGTCAGGTGTATCAGCCCCATCTGATATTTTTAGTAGTAGATCTTTCAGTTCAATCAGACATTTTGCCAGCATTCTTCATGTTTCTCTAAAGCAATGCACATGCACTCAGGTCTTTGTGGTATAAAAATGTTACACAGTATAAAGGAAATATACAGTGAATAATACCCTAAATAACAAGTTAACTGCTTCTAGGTAAATCAGTCATTAAATCTACACTTTCTTTACACCTCCCATTAAACATTTGCTAGGGAAGTTCTGAAACTTTTTGTGTTTTGTATTCTTATGATAGTGTAATAAAAATAATCTTTCCATCGGGTATTCAAAACCCTGGAGTGAATAATTTCCATTAAAAAAAAAATAAATTAAAAATGGATAGGTAATGAGGTAAATTAAATATGTGCTTTACAGAAAATTACAGAAAATAGTGAATACTTACAAAATATGTACTGAGACATGATAAACTGTTATTTAACATTATTATTAAAAAATAAACTGTTATTTATATACTTCCTTCTCTTGAGTTAAAGGAAGAAATAATTCCAATAAAGAAAAGAACTGTAAAGTTTTATGCCCCATATTTAACAACATTAAATTAGGTGCACTGCACGGATAGGTATCATATTATTGCCCTGTGAATGTCATTGTTTTATATTGCTCTTTTTTATTCACCTTCACTTTTATCTGTGGGACCCTATGCATAGGAACCCTATAAAACAAGCAGCACACAATAGGCTACCACCTCCTTGCACTGGAATTACCACAGTTATAGTCTTCTCTACGTGCAACTGAAATTTCAGTTTTCTCCTTGTTTTACCTTATCCTTCTTCTGTTTTTCATCCTGGTATATGACCCAGTGTTCCCCATCATTACTGTAGGCAAGCTTGTAGGATCCCACAAACTGGACGTGACCAAAATCCTTAGCTCCTTGAGTAATTATGCCGGTGACTTTTGTAGGGACAAGTAGATCAACCTAAACAAAACACAACACAGGAGAACAAATGTAATTAGAACAGTGTCTGTATGCAGTCTGACTTCACACCACACAAAATCAAACGCTGCTGATACACTGGCACAGTTTGCAACAACTTCTGCATGTTCCAGTTCCATGTAATGGTCAATTACCACTGGGTAATTGGTCAATTCATCTCTTTCCTTTACACTAATCATCACTTTTATCCCCTTATGGTATACCAGGACTGATCTCACACCATTTTTTATTGTGCTGCCCAACTTCCCAACAAAACAGCAGTCCTTGCAAACCATCTGCAGCCCAAAAAGCACTTCCACATGCTCCTAATAATCTGAATAGAGTATGTCACAGGTTGATTCTCCATCTCCATTCCATTTCCTCTGCAGTGACAGACGCTGTGCTTTATTAAGTCTTTTAGAACATTTTCTATCACACTTTTCCTGCTGAACTGTTCCACTCACTTTAAGACCTCTATGTCTTTTTTTCTACCTCTAAAACTCTAGCTTTTTCATTCACTAACCTTTTGGAGCTATTCATTTTATAATCTTAGCTAAAGATTTAAAAAATGCAAGGCAGGACTCTTAATGCCTAATAAAATCTTTCAAGTGGCTTTCACATGGGTCAGCACATTTGTGATCAGCTTTGTGGAACCAGAGTTCAACACTGAATATAACAGATCTGGGCCAAATGGCTTGGCTTAAAGTGATCAAAGAACAGAACACAATAACAGAAATAAATTGACCTAATAACACATTTTTAGAGGAAGAATGGAGGAACTGCAGTCCCTATTCGAACTGACATTTTCTGGAAATGCGAAGGCATTTGGTTCTGTGTCCTCCAGTAATGCATTAAACCGGAAAAAGAACAAGAACAACAACACCACCACAAGAAAAGCAGATTTATTTCAGACAATAAATAGCTGTGAAGCAGTCGGCATTTTTGATATTGTCTGCTAAATCAAATAAGACTAATAGTAAAAATATCCTGGTAAAAAATCAGAGAAGTGCTCAACTGTATAAGAATATGTTTTTGCAATAACAACAAAAAATTGAAGAAGAATGTGAAGGAATAAAGAATATCTGACTGATAAAATGCTGAAGACTCAGTATTGCAATTTTTTGAGGCTGAGGTCATCTGAAAAGGCCAGATTTGGAATGAAAATGTAGGGCAAGGGAGAAGAACATCTGTGAAAACATAAGAAATTAATAATGGGAAAAGGAGAAAAAATAAATGAGCATCAGAAGTCATCAAACCCAAGTCAATACTTTTACAGGCTGGGGACTACAGTTTGCATCCCATAAAGATGAAAATGCAGAAATATGTAAAGACATGTTTTTAAGAAATGAAGAGGAAAAATGCCTCTTAGGAGTAACCAAACAAGGAAGACTGAATACATCTGCCCCAATATCTGATGACAAGTAGCAAATAATGAGTAACAAATCATTTCCAGAAGAGGAGTAAAATAAAACTTTTAGTACTGAGATACCATAACAGCAAATGGAAAATAGCATTGTCCACAGATGATCTTAGAATTTTGATTCTATCAGAAGAAAAGGATTTATTCTCATCCAACAGAAGCAATATGGCTCAGAGGAGCACCTTGGAACCTACGGGAAGTAGCCCTGCAGGGAGAAACCCTTTTGGTTTTCTCTTTGTTCAGTGGAGAGAGGAAGGACTGAACCAAGAGCAGCTCTCATAGTCTGCTTGAAACAACTTATTTCTTCTGTAGCAAGTGCAGGAGACTGGCTTCCACAACCCAAGTGGACTGCTGGGAATCAGGCACTGCTAGTTAGATTTTTTAAATGAATTAATAAACTCAGAGTATCCAGGTCTTAATTCCCAATATTTTTTTCAGAGCTCAGATGATTGGATCCGCTTTTCAGAAAGGCTGACCTGGTAAAGAATCATTAATTGATCCACACTTCTGGGCAGCATTTGAACTAAACATTTCAGAGTCAACTTTAAATTCTGTTTATAAATATTTTTTACATTAACATTTTCCAAGCATAACCTCTTCTATGTGGTTTCTTATACTAAAAGCTAATCTCTCTCCTGCTTACTTGGAAAGATATTTCCATAAAAACACTTGGCTATTTTTAAAATGTCAAAAGCAATCTAAAAGGATTTCAGTAATATTTAAAATGGCCATGATGTTCAGAGTATTTTTCATTGAAATTCAGAACAGCAAGAAAACGTCCTATTAAGATTCAGGGAATTTCAAAGATAAAATCACAATACATCCTTATTATCACCCAGATCCAGGGTTAATAAAAATGTGCTGGCAACAAATGTTTTGCACTTATGGGACATACCCAGTGGCCTTGCAGTCTTGTTCAGAAAAATGATGTGGGAATCTGGAAGGTAATTTGGCACATGTTCAGCCTTTTTATGAAAGACGTACATAGCATACATACACATGTTTCGGTGTGTGTGTGCTTGTGCATGTTAATTATATGAAAAAAAAAAGAAAGAAGTAAGGTTTAATAGACAGGGTCTGTTCTAAGTCTAGGTTTTGACAATACAAACAATATAAATTGCTGGAGGTGGAGAGAAAGAAAAGGATGTACTATTCTTTTTTCTTACTTTAGTATCATATTTAATTTTTTCTTCATAAGCCAGTATGAAGCTTTCATGAAGTAAAGAGTGGTTTTAACTTACTATCTAAAAACCTGCTTTTATTCTATTGCTTTATTACCTTTTGCAAAGAGTTAAAACAGTCTTGCTTTTCATCCTTCCTACTGAAAATAATTAGGAATGAAAAGGTGAGAAGAGCTTACTTCAATTTCTAAGCAAAACATCCACATTTAAATACCTTAACAGAAAGTCGTACCTTCCTATCAGGATGCAGAATACATTTATTCAGTTAGTGCAGATTGCAAGTAACAGGCAATCAAACAAATTGCCAGGGAGAGAAGTTGAATTAACACACAGCCACTATATGCTCTTCAAAGCTGAATGTGATTAACCAGATTAGAATGTGACTTTGACTTTTTTAGTGCAGCAGAATTTAGAGTGAGGTAGAGGCAATTAGACTGCAACTGATAGGCTCATTAGCTTGTTACACGAAGAACCATCGTTTACAGTCTAATGTACATTTCTACAAGCAGCAGATCAAAAAGCAGTTTAACACCTTGTGTCTGAGAGAACTCTCTTGGGCTGTAGCAGTCCCCTTTGTAAATATGTTTCCCACCTTGCTTCTGACATTGAAGATGACTCAATGTGATTTGAAGAATTGAAGAAAAGTGTAAAGATAAATCCACCTGAATATGAAACATTTTAGTGAACCGCTGCATGAATTTGTAGCATAAACTGCAAGGCACTGTACAATTCAACATAGAGTGACTAGTACCTACGCTATAAGTAGGGAGAAAACAATCACATAATTGCTCTGTGAGCTAAAAAAAACCTAGACTTTCCTCATCTGTTTGTGCAGATGTGTGCAATTTTCATACAACTCGCTTTTCAACTGAACTCCTTGAGAACTGCAACTAGAGATGCAGATACCCTCAATCTGCAGAAACGTTCAACTACTGCAATTTTCTGAATACTCCTTCCTCTCTCTTCTCTTCTGAACATCCCCCTTTCTTCTATATACTTGGCAGAAACACATGAATATACAAGTATTTGCTGGAAGAGCATATCCATGATAAATCATGGAAACTGATGACAGAACTCAGGAAAGGAAGCAGACAGCTCTTATGAAATATATGGAAGACGATCAAGGAATCTCTCCTAGAATAAAAACACACACTGCAGCTCTGGCTTACAAGAAGACAAGCTTCAAGAAGACACAAACTGCAGAAGCATTCAGCATTTGAGAGGTGAACGGAAGAGATGGATCTATGTAGCAGTACATAGCAACCTGCTCAAGGTGGCCCTACCTGAGCAGGTTTGGACAAGATGACCTCTAACATCAACTGTTCTGTGATGTTGTGACCTAGTAAACCCATCCAGATGGATCAAAGTATTGGAGTCTGGGAAATCAATAGGCAATAAGTAGGGTATGTTTATACTGACAAGCAGCAGAGTGCAATGGTGAAGAAAAGTAATTGATTAGAGACCAAGATGCCTACACAGTTTGTGCTACAGGGGTTTTACTTCCAGTTAGCCTGGACCAAATTTTGAAGCATGTCTTTTGGCTTAATTTCATTTGAAACAATCCATTTCATGCTCTGTGAAGATACTCCATCCTATGAACTAAAGCATGAAAAGTGGAGACAGTCTTAAAAAAGCCCAACTCATTCCTTATCTGCTCTGCAATACTAGGGAAGAAGAAATAATGCACAGAATCCAGGGGGCAGCATGTCCTAGTAAGTGATGAAGATAATGGTGAGGTGGCTCAGCTGTCCTTCAACTGTACATGTTATCATTTCAGTACACACAATCTCAGCTTCAATTTGGAGATTCAGAATAGAAAGAGGGAACTGAAAATTAATGGAGTGCTGGGAGTTAAGGTAATGGTTAGTTAATGATGCATGTTTTTTAAAACTATATTTTAAAAGTTCATTTTAGTCTGCTACTTTTTAAGAGACAACATTCCTGCTCCCAGTTTAGCTAGCCCTGTGCCCACTTATTTGGCAATTTTTAGTAGTGTCAGTTTTCCTCCAGGTTTTCTTTAATTTACCTCTGGGGGCTGTTTTCCTATCAGTTGATGCCAGATAAAACAGATGAAATTCTGAGTATTCCTAGTCATCAAACAAGAGTCTCCTGGAGTAGAAGTATCAGGGATTGAAAAAAAAAGAAGAAATCTGGGTCCAACACAAGTGAGAAGGTGGCTGTAGCACCTACCCTTACAAGACTTCCACATGACATCTACTTCATTAAAGTGGAGATCTATCACACACACTTGCCCTGTGTCAAGGCCTCAGATACTCTGGACTGCTCAAGGTAATATTAGGCATTCGTGATTAGTTCCTGAGTATTACCAGGATAGTTTAATGCCCTTGGTTCGTTCTGTGCAAATTTCTCACTCTCTGATCAAGACCTCTATTTTCATATTT